GCAGGCAGGCAAATACTAGAAGAAGCACCGAGACCTGAGCTCAAAGTCCTACAGTCAAAGTGGAAGACTACCTAAAGTGGTGAAGAATGACCAGACTAAGATACTGTGGGACTTCCAGGTCCAGACTGACGATGATGATGGTTCCCAAACTGGACATTGTGGTGGTGGACAAACCACAGAAGACAGTGGTGACACCACTCGAGCAACTGCAACGTCAGAAAGAAAGAAAGCGTGAGAATCTTGAAAAATACAAAGGGCTAAAAGAGGAAATAGAGAAGTTGTGGAAAGTTTAGCCTCAGACCTCTGACGCCACAGGCCCCGGCCAGTGTTCATCGGAAAATTTAGTGCTGAGATTCCCAAGCCAGTGGTGTAGTCTACATTTTTGTACTGGGTAGATTGTGCTTAGAAACTGAAGAACACCAGTTAGTATGATGTAATAGTCAATTTATTTAGGTTTTTAAGCCACATTTGAACATTTCAAAATTTCTCTGATGCTTATATTTGAATAAATATACAACAAACTTTGTACAGCAGCTGGCTTTGTATTAAAACATGTTATAGAATTTATTAAACCGTATCAAAGCAAAACATGTTCAAGTATTAAGTACAGAAGTATTAATTATACAAAAAACAGTTTTAACCAACTCGTGTCTATAAAATGCTCCAAATGTGTTGACAATGACACATGCCCAATGATATGTCACATATCATTGGGTACTTTTAAGTGTGTATGCTGAAATTCCCAAGCTTTTCTTGTAGGTATACTCGTTATACCTGCATATGGTAAATGGTAAATGGACTGTACTTATATAGCACCTTTCTATCTTATTTCAAGATACTCAAAGCGCTTTACAACACAATCTGTGCCTCATTTACCCATTCATACAGCACTCTACTAGATCTCTACAAAGCTAATTGAACAAATCATTCTAATGAGACTAATCAGAGCTTTATCACATTCATACACTGATGGGACACACATCAGAGGCAACGAGGGGTTCAGTGTCTTGCCCAGGGACACTTCAGCATGTGACTGCTGCTGGATTCAAACCCCCAACTCTCACATTGGAGGACGACTGCTCTAACCACTCAGCCACAGCCACCATATCACATAGACTACACCACTGCCCCAAGCAGATCGCAGGAACGACCTCAGAGATCTCATGAACTTGTATTTCTGCTCTATAGGTGATTTCTAAGGGCTATTAGATGATAATTTAGCATATCTCAACAAGGTGCAGATCATCCCCTAAAACGAAAGCACAATAAAATATGAAGAACTGTAGAAGGTCAAAAAAGAAAATGTATCTAGAGCTGAACAATATCTCAATTAGATGTCTGTGAAATGGGAAAAAAATCCAGCAAAGGCCGAGATGGATCATTCTTTAGTTGATCCATTCACCATGTCGAGTTTTCAGTTCATAGCTCTTTGACAGTAACCTTGCTGTCGTAAAAAAATATGTTTCTGTCAAACTGGATGGATTTGTACTCTTGCACATACATCTAAAGAAATGAAAACATTTTGTGCCTTTGAAACTGGCTGATCATCACAAAACGCCTAAAGTAACGTTTCAAAACCTGCAGTTAGTTTTTCTGTTATGTTTGAACTTCTTCATGCCTTAGGTTTGGTGGCTTTTTTGCTTTAAAAATTCAAAGGTCTGTGTTGTTTAGCTTAACAAAAAAGTAAAGGTACAAAGACTGGACTTAAAGTGAGTGAAAAACCTGTGAGCGTTCAAAGGCAAACTGGAAAACAGGCAGAAAGCCTGTGCAACTATTGCACAGGAACTTAAAAGATACAATAATTTTTTGTTTCTTTGAAGCTACTTGTAAAGGAATCAGTGTCGGCTCAGGACTTGTGCACCAGTTTTTAAATGTATTCCTCTGCTCTGAACAGCGGACACACCATGCTGACAGTGACTGGGACAAACCTGGATGTGGTTCAGGAACCTCGAGTCCGAGTCAAATACGCTGGCCATGAATACGTCAACGTGAGTGAAACAAATCCTAAAATCCTGCGATCTGACTTTTTTGATTAGATTGTCAAAATGCTCAATAAATGTGTTTTTATCTGTTGTTTAGATTAAAAACTGGATGAGCATGGAGCAGCTCACGTCAAAATGACATTTTAAAAACTGCTACTAAAAAACAAAGTTTGGGTTGATGATTTATGGTGTTGAGATTTCCTGTCTGAGCTGCTCAAAGTGATTGATTGTGCTTCAGTGTAGCAGCCCAGATGGCTAAACTTCAGGCACCCTCTGCCCCATGTTTTGGACCAGTCTGGGTTTTACAGATGAGTTTGTCACAAGAAAAATAATAACAGAATAAAACTGTTGCTTTTTGTCATTGGGAAGGAGAAACCTCTGGACCTTTCTGTGTAAACTGATCCAATGGTTTTTAATTGTTCTTTTGTTTTTGTTTTTTACTTGCATTGGTAATGTTATGTGTTCGAGATTTGCCATGGGCTAATTAAATGTTGTGTTATTGACGCCAGCTCAAAATCTGAGCCAGTCAATTAAAACTGCACGACCTCCAGTGTCACTGGCAGCACTAAAACGATTGAATCTGAACTTTTAACCAAATGAGGGACAAACAAACAAACAAACAAACAAACAGCGACTGGGGACTTTAATGAGGGGACTTTTTTTATGGAATATTTCCTGAAAACAATGTGGACTGCATAAAAATATTTAGAGTCAGAAATATATATAATAGAAAAAATATATATCTATATAGGATATATTGTTAAATTATGGACAAATAAAAATACATATAGTTAACCATATCATACTATAACTACTACAACTGCCATTACCACTGTTTACCAATATTAACATAGCAGTAGTAATAACCACAGCTAAATCAATAATATTATTATATGAATAACAACTACTTGTTGTATGATGCAAAATGTCTTCACATGGACTGTACTTATATAGCGCCTTTCTATCTTACCAAGATACTCAAAGTAGTGTTGTGGTCAAGACCACCTGATCCGAGACCAAGTCGAGACCAAGACCTCAAGAGAGTTCAATCTTTTCACAGATTATCTGTCTTATACTATACTGTCATGAAATAGTAAATTTTAACAAATATGTAAAAAACATACTTTAAGTTTGCTTTTGAATTAATGTATCAGCTTGGCAATGGGTCACGTTATCGCTTGGATTTGAATCAGTATGTTTTGCATCAAATCAAAACAAAGGCATTAACAAATAAACTGGACAATATTCTGGCAATTTAGTGACATTTCCACAGTTGTGGTCTTGACTGGTCTTGAAATAAAATACCGAGTCCTCAATGTCCAAAACTGAGACAAGACCGAGACCAAATGTGATCGAGTCCGAGACGAGACCAACAAAAAGTGGTCTTGAGACTGGTCTCGAGTACTACAACAATAACTCAAAGTGCTTTACACTACAATCTGTGCCCTCATTTATCCATTCATACAGCACTCTACTAGATCTCTACAAAGAATAATCAGAGCTTTATCACATTCATACACTGATGGGACACACATCAGAGGCAATGAGGGGTTCAGTTTCTTGCCCAGGGACACTTCGGCATGTGACTGCTGGTGGAATGGAACACCAACTCTTGCATTGGAAGACGACTGCTCTAACCACTCAGCCACAGCCGCCCCATATGAAATGTGCACACTAATGCTGTGGACAATATCAGTAATGTGCAATTATGCCAAGATATGTAATTAATTAGGCCTCACTGTCAGGAATTTTAATTAAGTTTACTGGTAATGACATCTTGTTTAGACTCGTTCAATTTTTGGAAACGTTAAAACATTTATAGCAAGTAAAAGTAGCTTTAAATCCACAACAGTTTTTTAATTCCAAAAACACAAATACAGTATAAACAAAGTTTATAGAAATGTAAAAAGTTAATATATTTCTCCCACTTGTTTGAGTTTTCGGTGCTGTATGCAGCATGATGCATGACTGTGCCTTCTGGTTTGATTATTCTTCAGGTGTGCAAAGTTTTGAACACAACCACCATCATCTGCTTTGCCCCCTCCCTGAAGGCAGCATATACCGCAGACCAGGAGACGATAAAACATGTAGACGAGTTCGGCTTTGTCTTCAACAATGTTCAGACTCTGCTTACGTACAACAACACAGGATTTGTCTACTACCCCAACCCTTACTTGGAGCCCCTCAGCCTCTCAGGGGTCCTGGAGCAGAAACCTGGAGCTCCCATCATTCTTAAAGTAAGTCAGAGGAGAGCCGACCTCAGAAATTCAGATCATAGATGACGCAAATAATTAAGAGTAAAAAAAAAAAATGTCTGAACACAGTTAAAACACATATAGCAACTAAAAAACATGAACACATAACCCCTGTCCTGGCTTCTCTCCACTGGCTTCCTGTCCACTTCCGAATTGATTTTAAGATTTTATTGCTTGTTTTTAAAGTCTTAAAAGGTCTGGCCCTGTCATATTTATGTGATCTCATGAACATTTACACTCCAGTAAGAGCACTCCGGTCTACCGACCAGTTCCTCTTAGATGTCCCCAGATCCAAACTGAAATCCAGAGGTGATCGGGTTTTTGCGGTTGCTGCTCCAAAACTGTGGAACAGTTTACCTGAGAATTTAAAGACCGCTCTGACTGTTGAGACTTTTAAATCTTTGCTCAAGACTCATCTGTATTCCTTGGCATTTCATCCACGCAGAGTCTGAGAACAAGTTGAGCTGATTTTATTGTTGTTATGTGTTGTTTTTATTGTCAACTTATGTTTTTGAGTGGCACTAGATGCATTTTTACTCTTTTTTTTATTTTTTAATCTGTCTTAACTGTAAAGCACTTTGGTCATCTTTTGTTGTTTTTATGTGCTATATAAATAAATTGACATTGACATATCTAATGTAATTAAATGCTTCCTATAGGAAAAAAAATTCTTCTTGACTTCGTGAAATAATTTTCCACTAGATGTATTCTCTTTACATCATGTGTCACAGCGAGGAGCTTCATTCTTCAGTTCTGTTTCGTCATGGTGAAACAGCATGAAGTTCTGGTTTGAACCTTAAAGGAAATTAAAATTATTTAGAGGCTTTCATGCACATTGTAGCTTTCCAGCCATAAATAATGCAGCATCAGATCAGGCTGCTACATTTCTCCATTACACATATTTCAATAATGCATCACAATTTAAATGTGATAATGAAGTAAAATAAAGTAAAACATTTGGCTTGATAGAAACAACAGAAAATATCTTAAACATTTCCAAACTGTTCTTGTTCAACACTTCTTTTTCTCCAACTGAGAGGATCTTAAAAAGTAAAATTATATGTTTTTAAACTCTGTTGATTTTTGTTTCCTGAACTGTATTGCAGGGCCGTAACTTAGTGCCATCTGCATCTGGTGGAGCGAGGCTCAATTACACGGTGCTGATCGGAGATACGCCCTGCTCTCTAACCGTGTCTGATACTCAGTTACTCTGCGAGCCCCCGAACCTCACTGGGCAACACAAAGTCCTGGTTAGTCCTCACGTCATGCTTAACTGTCCGTTTGTTAGGCTTTTTGTGAGTATTTTTCTCTGGATCAATGTGGGTCACCATCTGTAGGTCAGCGTTTGTCTTTACGTCACTTGGTTTTTTTGGGTCACTGACAGGCTTTCTGGTCACTGGTTTTCTGTCATTGTCTGTCACTTATGGTCTGGTAGGTCCCCCGTTACAGCAACCAACCGCCACAATATTGATGGGCAGTCTAGAAAACAATGACAAAAAAGCTTGAAGAAAGGCAACCTGAGAAATTTCTACTTCAAAACATTTATCCACAGCAGCCATGTTTTTAATAAATGACCATCCATTTAATTTTGTTTACATTTTTGTGTCAGTGCTGATTCATCATTCACACAATTGTTTTCCTGTTTTTTTAAAGCAAATGTTTTTAACGGGCTAACTTCTGCCTAATTTATGCTAATTCTGGCCGTTTACCGTACTTGCCACTGTACACGTTGCACATCCCTATTCGCCGCATCTATTTTGCGTCACCGCTGACAACCCGGAAATGTGGGCAGGCGTTGTGCCAAAAATCGATTGGCTGCCAAATGGTGGCCACGGGAGTGTGCACAGGAGGACTTTAACAAGGATTTAACAAGATTAACACTTAAAAACCATTACCGTATTTGTTTGCTCGAAATTATAGTAAAGGTGTGGCTCAGTTGAACTTTTCCTAAATAAATGCACTTTGACAGTCAAATCAGCTGCATTTCAAAAGCTGATTTGAAGCTGCGGGAGCAGGCAGAGGAATGATTCGCTGTGCATTTTTTGGAACTTTAACAAGATAACCACCTAAAACAATTATTTGTTTGCTCGAAATTATAGTAAAGGTGAGTCTCAGTTGGACTTTTCCATAAAAAATGCATTTTAATGGTCAAATCAGCTGCATTTTGCCTGGGTGGCGCGGTGAAATGCAGCTGATTTGACATTTGCTCCAAGTGTTCCGAGCGAGACAAAGGTGGCTCTGTATGGCAAGCCAAGTGTCTCATTAATAGCCACTATTAATGAGGCATTTGGCTTGCCATTTTACTTGAGGGCCATCTAGTGGCTGCAAATGTTAGTGTTCAATATTTTCCATTTTGGAATTAATGAAATCGTCAGATCTGCCAAAAATTGGTTTATAAATATGGAGAAAACACGTATTCATTCATTCAACCTTTATTTAGACAGGTAAATCCCATTGAGCCTCGAGGACTCATTTACAAGAGACCTGATTAAGAAAACAAGTATATTAGTCGCTTTGGTGTATAAGTCGCAGGCATGCAAATTTATGCAAAAAACTACGACTTATAAAGTGACCGTTAAGGTATATGTCAAAACATTGAGCTCATTTAGAAGATGGTTGTTAAAAAATTTGTTTTTAGTAACATATAGTTGTCAAATTATGTAATTTTATTCACAGATATTTTCAACAGAGAAATTTGTTGAACTTTCATTTTTACAAAAAACATTGCTCATTTTGAAATTTGCTTCAGAATACATTTTTTTGTCTTACTACTCCACTTTTTGTTTGTAGCTTTTGTTCTGCTGCTTTTAGCTAGTCCTTTGCAACTTTTATGCCGCTAACATTTTGCTGATTTTATCAAGCATTTTGCTTCTTTTAGCTACTGTTCTGTTATCTAAAAAAGTTAAATCTGGTCCTCTGGACATTCAAAAAAACAAAACAAAGCAAAACAACAAAAAAATGTAGAAACGTTTCGTCTCTCATCCGAGAGACTTCTTCAGTCTGAGGTGCTGTATTCAGCCCAGTCTCTTAAATAGATAAAAATAAATCATTAAATAAATCATTTTGTGAACGTTGGATCAAGCCTTGCTGCTAAAATACCAAAAGTGGACAATAATGTGAACCATTCAATTATAAGTTGTGAAAACAGTATTTTTCTTAATGGAACTGACAAAGAAGAAATAACGAATGTTGTAAAAAAAATCTTACAGATAAGAGATCAAAAGACTGGGTGGACATGGATATGATGTTTGTAAAGGACATAATGAGTTATGTTATCGAGCCGTTTACATATATTTGTAATTTATCATTTTCAAAAGGAATATTTCCAGACAACATGAAAGTAGCTAAGGTAGTTCCTCTCTTTAAAAATGGTGATAAATGTGTGTTAAATAATTATAGACCAATATCCTTATTACCACAGTTCTCAAAAATTCTGGAAAAACTGTTTGTGACCAGATTAGATAAATTTATTACTAAACAAAACATTCTAAGTAGCAGTCAGTATGGGTTTAGAGCAAAAAACTCTACATCAATGGCTCTCATGGAAATAATAGAACAAATAACTACTGCTGTCGATCAAAAACAGTATTGTGTTAGTACTTTTGTTGATTTAAAAAAAGCATTCGATACTATTGACCACACTATTCTCCTTGAAAAATTAAATAAATATGGTATAAGAGGACCAGCATTACACTGGGTATCTAGCTATTTAAAAGATAGGAAACAGTTTGTACAAATAAATGGTGTAAGATCTGACCTGTGCAATATCACTTGTGGAGTTCCTCAAGGCTCTGTACTTGGACCAAAGTTATTTATTTTATATGTGAATGACTTAGTGAATGTATCAGGACTCCTCAAATGTGTCCTTTTTGCAGATGACACCACATTTTTTTGTTTGGGTAAAGATGTAAAACGGATGTTGGAATTGATGAAGACAGAATTTGATAAAATACAAACTTGGTTTAAACTTAATAAATTATCATTAAATTTAGATAAAACTAAATACATGATATTTAGTAACAAAAAGAGAACTGTTGATGATCCATTTAAAATTGAGGGTGTTGAGATTTGTAGAGTTAATGAGATTAAATTTTTGGGTGTAATCATTGATGAACAGCTAACATGGAAAAATCATATAAATTCTGTAAGAACAAAAATAGCCAAATCTATTGCAGTACTATACAAAGTGTCGTGGATAGAATACCACGTCGTGTTCAAAACGGCGGAGGCGTCACCCTTCGTATAAAAGATTTATTTGACACAACATGGGTTACAGATATTCAGAGACAAACAATTACATTAATAAGATATATGCATATAA